ATATACATACAGTATATTTTAGGGGTATTAAACGCTAGAATTCTAAAATGGATCATTTGTGAATTATTTAAATATGCAAATTATCTGTTCCTCGAGGCACCACTAAATTTTTTATAGGAAAACTTCAGAAAAACTTTCTCTTAATATCTAATCTCTAAATATGAAGGTGTTTAATTCTTTCAGTTTAATGACGGCGTGAGACAAGGAAATACACGACAGACAAATTTGGAAATTCATCCGTGTATTATTTAAAATGAGGTTCAGAGGGAAATATATGCATTACAAATCATTTCTCAGACAAAAACACACTTATAATCAGTTCTGTAAACTTGATCAAGAAATGATGTAATTAATCTGGCATGATTACCATGTGAACAACTTTCTACAACAACTTTCTACACATATTTCAGTGAGACACCTCGCTATTCYTAAGCCTACCGCTAACAAAGAGGGAGCTCAAGGGAAAGAAGAATGAACATTGATTATACTCTGATCTGATTTAAATCTTTGAACACACCATCAGATTAATTAAGCAAGGTATTTCCTACCGGCAAAGTTTGTAGACGCCAGAATGGATACTTCTATGCTAATTGGGCTGGCACGTGAAGTCCAACCAGGTCTGTGACTTAGCTGTGTAGAAGTTCCCTGGTCATCTGGATTGCTGGGCTGCATTTACTGGAGATGTGGTCCAGCACACCGTGGCGGCTGCCTTCTTGCGGGCACACTGATGGTCGTCCGACTTGAATTAAATCAGCCTCATCGTTTTCAATCAATGTAAATCTACTTCCTGAAAGCACCTTCAGATTAAACTATAAAAAGGAAAAAGTTGGAAAAAAATGGCCTCTCCCTGGGATGGGGKAAAGCTGGAGCTGAAAAACTACTCTCCCCTCAAACGCTTCTTAGAACTCTCTGCATGGCAGAACAATGAAAATACTCCTTGTTCACAACGGAACTTCTCATTGGTTAAGACTTTCTGCGGTGGTCACATGACCTATCCAGACATGTAACAGAAGAGCAGAGTAGTAATTAATCAAAACCAGATCAAGTTACTTAAACAATGTCATGATTATCATAGTAATTAAATCAGAGTACCAAGGTATTGTTTTGACACTTCACAGATGCTTTTTTTTAGTTATAAACGGAAAACATGGGTGAAAAATAAAATATTTTCAGGGTTAATAGATAAAATGTTCAGAGGGTGGCGTTGCTGACCCACAGATAAATCTGATGGGAGTCTTTTGATGTTTTTGTCTCGTCTTGTTTAACATCATGTTTAACATCAGGGGCCCTTTGATGTCAAACAGGGTTTATTCCAGTCTTATTCTGAAAGAGGTGATAAACAAATTAACTGACGACAGGAAGTCTAGTCTTTGTTCTAAAGCCTAAGGGAGAAGTATCAGATGAATTAACAGGAGAAGTCATTATTCAAACTTTGAGATGTTGCAGGCAGGATGAAAAAGGTGGAGTTAACAGGAACAATAGTTTGACTGTCTCTTGAGAAGATATTCACGTTTCCGCTACAATATATATCGTCACTTACCGTTATCATGATAATTTTTTTAGTCCATATCGCCCATCCCTAGTTGTTATTGCATTTTAATGCTTAGTTTTAACTTAGTTTAGTTTTTATTAGCTCTAGTATTAGTTTTTTATATTTTGAATAAACATATTTGCCAATGCATGAAGCTTGAGGGGTTACTATGAGTTAAATAACCAGCAGCTATTTGGTCACTAGTTAAAGCAGTCCATTATAGCGACACCTTCCTAAAATAATTGTGTAACTCCATTTTGCCAACTAAGGACTTGGKTGATTATTTTAGGACGATGACAAAAGTTGTCTCCAAACTGCTGCTACCTGTTGCTTGTTTTTCATGGGAGCTACTGAAAGAAGCTAGAGTGTCAAGATAGTCRTAGTTAGCCGTGTTATGTGAGTTTGATTCATGCAGTTTTTCCCCTTGAGAATTATTCCACCTGTTTTATCACCTGTTTCCACTACAAGACACTTGCTTTGATTTTTCTCACACTTATATTCATAGAAATCCCAAAGTCGACGTTGTTGCTTTATACCAACTTATGTTGTCATTTAGCAGATGAGGACTGAGCAGTAGATTGTAAACAAGTGTTGTTACGGCCCACAGCTAATGTGGAACTACTCGACTTGAAAAATAAATTTAAAAAAGGCCCACACAGCTCAAAATAAATTGACAAACACTAAAACTAAGGATATTGTCTCTATAATTTCTGTTAGTTTTTGTTAGTTTTGTAAAAAAATGTATACAGTTTTAGTCACATACATATAATTTTTTTCATTTTATTACATTTTTTATTTGTTTTAGTTAACTAAAATGTTTTTAAAATTTCAGTTTTGGTTATTTAGTTAGTTTTAGTTACCTATAATAACCCTGCTGTTCAGTTGTCAGTAATCTTTTTGTTTCCTCCTCTCAGGTTTCTACATTCTGTGCTGAAGCTCTGACTGTCTGTAACTCCATAGTCCATTCACGGAGTCCCTCTATTGCCCTCCCTTTACCCCCACTCGCCCTGAAACCTACCACCACACCTTCGGTCCTTTCATGTCAGGGTCCTGGTCCCAGGTTAACGTTGCCAACATTACTCGGCGGCCCTGCCCCCAGTCCCTCCTTCCCCACCCGTCATACCCTCAGCATGGGCACCACTTCTCTGTTGGGCTCCTTGGAAAACCATCTCTCCCTGATCCCAGGGATGCCAAGTCAGGCCTCGGCTCCGGGAGATCTGATGCTGTCCCCGCAGACGCAGCATCAGTCGGACCCCGTTGCGCCCCCAGAAGGCCAGCGATCTGTGTTTGTTCGCTATGACAAAGAGGAAGCAGAAGACGTGGAGATATCTCTTGCAAGTGACTCAGATGACAGCGTGGTCATTGTTCCTCCAGGGATGCTGAACACTGAAAACCAGCAAAACGACTTGGCAGCAAACTCCCAGAACGTGCTCTCCTCTGCAGCAGGCAGCACGGGGGTCTCACTGCCGGGGGCAGACTCCGTCAGCATGGTTCCCACCACAGCAGCATCGACGACAGTAGATGTAGCCTCTTTGCCCAATGACCTGGCCACGTCCTCCAGCACCCCCATCAACTCCTTCCCTCCCTCCAGCGCCTCAGTGGTCTCCCTGGTTCCGTCTTTGAACTCCAGCTCGTTTTCGGCCCTGCCCGGTGGCGGTCAGGGGGACTCGGGGGCCGGCAAACCTGGCCTGCAGCAGATGCTGATGCAGCCCTCTGCTGCAGGCCAGCCCGGTTCTGTCACTCTGCCGCTCCAGATGCACCAGCTGCAGAACCAGCTGACCCAGCAGGGCCGCCACCTCCACCAGCACCCACCTGCACCCACCAGTAACGAAGAGTCGGCCGTCATCAACATCAACAGCACTGATGAGGAGGAGGATGAGGACGAGGAGGAGGACATGGACGATGAGGAGGAGTTGGAGGACGAGGAGGATGGGATTGATGAGGACGACGAAGAGGAAGAGGGGAGTGAAGAATTCTATGACGGGGAGGAGTATGAGGAGTTTGAAGAGGAAGAGGGTGAAGAGCTTGAGGAAGAGGAGGAGGAGGAGGATGAAGATGGAGATATCCCACCTCTAGACGGATCAGAGGACAAGTCTGAGGAGATTAGCATGGAGGACGACAAAGTGCTTCAGGCAGCCATGGAGGACGGAGAGGTGGAGTCATACAGTGTGGAGGGAGAAGCAGGAGGAGGGATAGAGGAGCTGCAAACCAGCAGGACATTATTCAGAGGAGACAGGATGAAGATACAGGAGGTGGAGAGCATTGGAGTTCTGGAAGAAGCAAGGGAGGCAGAGCGAGAGGAGGATGAGAGCGAGCGCATGGATGATCCCACCATGCCTCAGATCCTGTGCGTCACCGGTGGAGCCCCGGAAGACAGGTCGGAGAGCGCCGAGGAAAGTGGAGGAGGAATAGGAGGCCTTCAGGAGGAAGTGAGCCTGTGGGAGCAAGGTGCCAAGGGAGAGGAGGTGGCACCTCCCTGTGAGGAGCACACAGCCAGTCAGAGTCAGCAGGTAGATGCAGAGCATCAGCACTCATTCTGACCACATCACTTTCTGTGTCCATTTCATTTTTTATTAATTTTTAATAGTTAATGCTTTTTTTTTCTGTCTATTTTATTTATTTTTAAAATACCTTTTTATTTTCTCTTTTTGAAAATATTTGGAATTTCAAGGACTCTTTAGTTTTTTTTTCTTATGGATCTAATTGAACATCACTGTGATTACTAGGGATGCACAGTAACTTATTTTAAGGACCGATATCGATAACTTTCTCCTAACGGCCGATAACATGCCAGGAAATAAGACAAGTCAAAAATGGGTAAGATCATAACATAAATAAACAAGAACAAAATCAAATGACACTGTAAATTATATTATTTGA